CTGCTGTTTTTTCAGAAAACAGATCACCTTAAAGGTATTGAATGCATTTAAAGAGAGTAACAGTGTAGGAGTCATGTTTGCAAGCAGCAGAGCAGGGAGCTCCTTGAGTATAACAGAGGGCCCATGCAGCCTTTCCTGGAAGCCTGCAGAGACAATGTCAAGAGCCAGCTACTCATATCTTTTGATGCATTAACCCAGCTAAGAGACCCCCCCCCCACTGGGAATTGAATCGAGGCTTGCCCTACCACCGAGCTACATCTCCAGTCCTTTTTATTTTGACATAGGCCTTGCTAAACTGCCCGGGGTTGGCCTCTAACTTTCAATATTCCTGCCTCTGCCTCCAGAGTAGCTGGGATTACAGCTGTGCACCATCACGCCTGGCTTCCAGGAAAAAAATCCAAACTGCAAAATAGTCATGTGTGTATAATATTCTTCCTAAGACTGTGTAACGTTCAACAATAGAAGAAGAATTGAAGTTTTGGCTCATTTATAATGGGGAATATTACAAAGACAGCAGAATATCTTTGTTAATTTTCCCATTGCTGAGACCAAACACCTGGCACCCAAAGTTAAAGGAGGAAAGGTTTATTGCAGCTCATAGTTTGTAGAGGTTTCAGTCCATAATCGGCTGGCTCTAAGGTAGGGCGGCATAGCAGGCGGGCATTGCAGAGTGGACAAGAGGCAGCAGAAGACAAAAGCGGCAGCCAGCATTGGCAGCAGCCCTTTTTCTGTCCCTTACATTCATCCAGGCTCCCTGCTCTTAATGCGGGCAGCACTCACAGCCAGGGAGAGGCTCCATTCATCCCAGCATCACATCCTTAACCCCAGCATCACACACGCAGATCCAGCCACTTCCCAAAAGCCCCACCTAAGACCACACGAGGCTTTGGGGGGGCATCTAGATATAAGTCATAACACAGAATTGTTCTAACATGTAGTGATACGAAAACATGATGCCCTAGAACAGCAGTGGCCAACCTATGGCACGTGTGCCGCAGCCCACTGCTTGTAATCATTGAAAACTCTAAAAGGTTTGCCATCCCTGGCCTAGGAGATATAAAACGTTTATATATATGCTATTGAAGCTGGGAAATACTAAGTATAGCTGACTTAGAGAGGTGTTAGAGTCTAGTAGAGTTAGAATGTTCTATGTACTAACATTTCTTATTAATTGCACAATGACCACAGGAATGCTTTCCTGTAAAACATTTAAATATCACAGTCAAGGGCCAGGGATTTAGCTCAGTGGCGCTGCGCCCGCCTCACGAGTACAGAGTCCTGAGTTTGATCCCCAGTACTGAAAAAAAAAATCACAGACAAATAAGACAAATTATTTTAAAATGACTTCCCTTATATTTTTTATTGTGTTGTACCTGTCAGTGAATTTAGGTTTCTTTTTATTTATTCATTGGCATTTTTTCCTTAGAAAATTTCTTGTTCATATTTCATGCAATTTTTCATTTCCACTGTTCAAATTTTTATCTGTAGGGGTGCTTTATGAATTTTAGATTTTTATTGAGATTTAATTACATTCAGATGTATAGCATAAAGATATTGGTATAGCACAAAGTATTTCCATGCAGGGATATACTGAGTCAGCCATGGTGAACTTTTTAGAGCTTTTAGTGTAACAAACAGCCCGCTGCGGCATGGGAGTCACCACTGGATGTCTTCTCATTCCCTTGGTAAATTGGTTTTCTTTTTTGTTTGTACACTTTCTGTTGTAATTTATATTACATACCAAAGACATTTCTTTCGGAAAAACAAAAAAGCTGGGCGTGGTGGCACATGCCTGTAATCCCGGCACCCAGGAGGCTGAGGCAGGAGGATCGCTATGAGTTGAGACCAGCCTGGGCTACAAAGTGAATTCCAGGTCAGTCTCAATTACATAGTGAGACCCTGTCTCAAAAAACAAAAACAAAACAAAACAAAATATAACAACAACAAAAAAAACAAAGACATTTCTGTTTATTGATATAAATAAAATAATTTTCAATTGAAAATTACAGGCCACCGTTGGAATCTTAGCAGCTTTCTCCAAGTCAATAAGAGTGTAAAGATGCACTGGTGTTAACCTATTTGCTTATGTATGAGGGAAATCAATAGGCTGATTTAATTTCTTCTGATGAGTCAAAACCAAGATTTAAATGCCAAAGAACAACAACAAAACGAAAAAAGGAGGGAGGATATTATACGTTTAGGAAAAGTAAACTTTGCCTGTATTTGAGTGGCTACCAATTCACTGGCAGTAGGCAGTGAATTTATCTTATTTTGTCCTATGTTTGTGTTATTTAAACACATTATGGCAAGAAAGCATTCCTGTAGTCAGTGTGTAGCTCGTCAGGAGCATCAGTACACACAACACTGTAACTGTGCAAGACTCTAACTCCACCTTTCACTCACGGGGAAAGTGCTGCTCCTGTTCACCTGGTCCAGGCACCGATTCCTACACCACGGCCCACTGTTCACAGGACGTCGTTTAGTTTTGTGCATCTTCTGAAGGCAATGAATTCCCTCCGGCTGCTCTCCTGGATCCAAATCTTCAAGGCAATTCTTGCAGATCTCTACAAACTTAAGGTCAGTTGATCATGTTCCAACCCGTTTTTGAACATTGTAACAGAGGAATTCTTACTGAATCGTCAACTTCCCACACATGGATGAACCAGGATGAAGGATTGGAGAGGAGATAGTGTGGCCAGCGTGGTGGAGTAGGGATGCTGGGGAAGGGCAGTGAGGACCCTGTGGACATGTCCACCTGCCCACCCTGCACAGTGTGAACACTCACTGTGTCGTGGAGAACACATGAGAACTGAAATGATTTTCACTGGTGAGCCAGCTGCCCAAGTCCTAACACCCCAGCCCCCAAATGCCAGCCATCAAAAATGCCAATGCCAGTCAGCCTGTCCTTACCTTACATCTCTGTACCTGCCTGCTGTACTTTAGCCACTCTGTAAGCAGGTACGGAAAAGACAGGCTGATTGGGGCTGACATTTTTGCTCTCCAGTTTTCAAGGCTGATTATTTTGCAATCAGGTCTTGTTTGGTGGTGGAAACACGGTTAGTTGTCTTCCTTGAAGTGACAGCTCCTTTCACCAAACAAGAGAACACCTGTGCTGTCCAAGTTAGGTGGTTCCCTCCCACACCCCATGGGTCTCCAATCCCCTCAGTTTCTTTATTTAAAAGACTGTGCTTTCTTCACTGCCCACAGTGCTATCTTTGTTTTAAATAATGTGTCCATATGTGCCTGGGTTTGTTTTTGTACTTTCCGTCCTCTTATCTTTGTCTATTTGTCTCTTTGCAGTAGGGGTTTCTTTTCTTTTTCTTTTCTAAAAGACAGATTGTTTTTATATCTTATTACTAAGGGGTCATTTTTCCTTTTAAATTTGTGAATGGTATGAAAACATTTACCAAATGCTTTCTGCACCTATAATATATACTCCTATAACGTTTTCAGTCTTAGGGACTGTGGTAAAATATGTTCATTGATTTTCACAGGTTGAACAAACCTTACATTGTGGGTAACTTATAAAAAAGGGGTTTATTTAACTCTGGTTTCTGAAGACCAAGAGCATTGGGCTGACATCTGCTTGGCATCTGGTGAGGGCCTCCTGCTGGGTCAGGAATGGCAAGGGCACCATGTGAAGAGGTGAGCTGTGGTGCCAGAGAGTGCAGCACCTCTGTAATAAAGCCACTGTCGTGGTGACCCATTAACCCACAGACCCCCCCCCACCTGTGGACAGGCAGGTTCCCCCTACCACGCATGGTGAGGATTCGGGTTTAGTATTGATTTTGGTGGGGGTGTCGACATCACAACAGCCCCAAATCTGTTTTCCCAAATAGATGTATAATCTTTCTCTTCTGTTGGCTCCGTTCAGATCAATAGAATTGTTTGATTTCCCTCTGTTGTCTTTGAGGTTACCCAGGAACACAACGTGCATTCTGACTGACTCCATGTGAGCTATCAATTCATTGCATCTCAGCTCCAAATCCACTTCGTGCTGCCTGTTATCCGAGACTGAATCTTTCTCCTTGCCAACTGGTACAGAGGTAAACTATGTACGTAGAGGGAACCAGAGAGGCACCACAGAAAAGAGGAATTTCTCCTCTGGGCCAGCACTTATCACCTGCCTGCTGTGCTCCGGCAACCGGGCTCCTGAACTATGGACTGAACAGCGCCACGCAGGGGCGGGCAGCTTCCCTGGTGCCTGCTGGCGTGACTTCCTCCCAAGACAGTGCCCCTATGAGGCGCCTCCGGATGGATGGCTTTCCCAGGATCCAGGGTGGCTTTGGACAATGGGATTGGCTGAAGTCGGTGGAGGGACATCAGATGCGAAAGCCAAGATTACCTTTCTGGGTTTCTTCCACTCCCAGTCTTGGAAGCGGTAGAGGTGGTGGGAAGCGGCCCTGGATACGTTTTGAAGGTGGAGATGACAGGATTGGCTGACAGAGTGGGATGGGAGCGCCAGGTTAAAAAGGTGATTTGAGTAATGGAAAGGAGCGAGCCGATCGGAGAGGGGAGAGCCGTGGATGACGGGGTGCACGGGAGGAAGCGGATAAAGGAAGAAGGAAAATGAGGACATTGGTGGGATGCTGGGTTCAAGGATTGAGATCTGGTGATGCCGAGGGACGGCTGGAGTCCCTACACTAGCAGGAGAGGACAGCAGAAGTAGCATGAGAACAGGGCCGCTGGAGAGAAAACAGACTCATATTGCAAAATAATATTTTATTCCCAGATCATATACATTTGAACATATATTCTCTTGATGAACTTTACATTCTTAGTAACAGAATAAATTATAGTATAAATCACAAAATATAATTAATTCTTCAATTACAAGCATTTCTATTTGCATAATGTGTGAGGTATGCCAGGGTAATCAGACATTATTGATGCTGATTTTAATAATGGAGAGAATCAGCTTTTCAATGACCAAGTATGACACTAGAGATTTAAAAAAGGCAGATTGGACCTGCAGGTTCTGGTATCTTCAGAATTAAAGAGGTAGATTGTAAAATCAGAAGACAGAAGGGATGTGTACTCATCAGTGGTGTGTGCCAGAAACACTAACCTGTAAATCAGAAACCTAGTTGACAATCAAGTTAAGAACGGAATTGCATATCCTAAAAGATCATATAGATATCATAAACTACTGGAAAAAAAGGGCAAATTAGTCGCCTTTGATTTCAACCATTGAAACAATGTTTTTTGAAGAGTTCAGAAAAAGGGTTACTTTTTTTCCAAGACACAGATCTTTATTCTTCTACTGGTTTCAAAAGATTTTTGTCTGTAAAGCCCATTTTATTAATTAGTATTCATATCTTTAATTAACCAAAGAGCTACCTAACTTTTATAATTAATCAGCTGTGTTGAAAGACAAGTTTTATAACTGAATCAAAATCCTTTCCATCTTGTGAAATGTGACCTCTCAGGGCAGGCTCTGTAGTTTCATTATGATAAATATCTGATTTCCATGAGGCTTTTTGAAAAGCTGAAAACAGCTCAGGAACAGTTCTTAGTTAGCCATTTTCATGAACCCTATTTGTGGAATTAATCCATTAGAAAGAACACAAGATCTGTTTTTATATCCATCTTGGTTTTCACTTCCTCCCATCTCAACCCTTAGTCTCTCGCTGCTCTATTTCTTTCCTTCTGTTCCCCTTCTATCCCATCATCTGCTCCCCATCCTCTTTGCTTTGTCACCCTAGTCTCGGAAGTTTTACTTTTCCTGTTTTTTCTCTAGGTGGATTCACCTCTCCTTTTGTTACGCTGTGTTTTCCACAAAGAGCTCGTTCCTACTGGTTTCATTACTTCTTTTTACAGAGAACTTTGTGTGGGATAGCTTGTGTGTGTGTGTGTGTGTGTGTGTATGTATGTGTGTGCAAGCATGCATGTACTCAGCACATACTCTACCCTGAGATACATCCCAGCCCCAGTAAAATGACTTGGGACATGTTACATAATGATCTACACAGGTCACCGACTGCTAATGTCCTAACACCGTCTCTTTGGTATAAACTTCTTGCACTGAAATGAAGCACCAGTAAATTCTTGAGTGTTCCATGTTGTCTGGTAGTCCTGTGAATGAAAATATTACTCATGAGCAATAGCGTGGGTCTCCTTTTAGTCCTTTTTATTTCTTACTGCTTTGGGGCACATTTTTCTATCTATTGTCTATTTCAAACTACATAGATGCCTTAAGGGAAGGGAGCGTCTAAACTGGAATGTGAGCTGGAATAAAACTCTGACTCCTCACCGAGTCATCACTGCCCATCTGTGGGTCGTGTGACGACTTCACAGCTCATGAGGTCGCCAACATTTGCGCCTCCTGTCTGCGCACCATGTGCCAGGTGTCCACACTTGTGACACCAGTGAGCTGCCCAAGGTCACATGGTGGATGACAGAGCCAGACCCAAGTATGAGGTGCTGACCACCATGCCTTGTTACCTCCTTAATGAAATTGCTTCCCATGGACATGTGGAGCTCTGCTCTGCTCTGCCCACACTTAAGACCCAGGCACTGTGAAGCCATCCTCTTTTAGAGCTGCTCCACTGCTGAGATCTGCTCCATCTTCTGCCTCTTTACCTTTCCTACTGCCTCTTTTAGTAACTTCTGACTCTGCCCGGCACCTGGGCCTCTGCATGGAGCCCTCAGACTCTCCTCTTTGCTCAGTTTCCTCAAATGCCCTGCCCCTTCCTCCCCTGCCATGCCAGGAGGCCACACCTTGGTTCAGACTTACTCTGCATAGTCTTCTAACTTCACTGGCCTTTTCTGTCTGCAGTAATCTTCCTATCGTCTCTCGTTTCTCAGTTCACAAAGTCTTTATTCAATCTTTAAGCTACTCAACAGCCCCAACCCCTTGCCCCTGAAATACTCCCTCTCCACCATGCTCCTCCTGGCCATCTCTAAACACCAGATGCATTCTTTCTCTGCTGAGAATTCCCAACAGTTTGTGCACAAGCCCAGTGCTCCTGACAGTGAGCGTGGTAATGCAGCCACAGGTAAACTCCTTAGCATCCCCTCCAGTTTATAATCACAGCTCAGAAGATCCAGCTAATGCCCCTTGCTAGACTACAGTCTGAATCAAGAACTCTATAACTGAAAGAAATGAAAAAGATACTCTGAGTCTACCATTTTAATTTTACTGGGAAAGACCCTATTTTAAGAGGCAAGTCAAACTGATCACAGGGGACAGGAACTCATTTGTTTCCTTCATCCTGGAACGGGTATTATGAGTAAAATCATGAATATGCTAAGCACTGTGCAGAGAGTGAGGGCTATTCCGGCTATAGTCTCTACTTTCAAAACTCAACAGCTACTGGGAGAGATCAGTGACACTGTGTTACTACAGTAGAGTGTGAAGAGATAGCCGTTGGGAAATAAATGAGTATAACGTATCAATGTACAAGTCCAGGAATTTATTCTCTGCAGTGCCATTCCATGGTCCTTTAGATACATGCATGTGAAAACAGTTGTTTTGTTTTGTTTTGGTACTGGGGATTGACTCAGGACCCTGCACTTTCAGGGTAGGCACAGCACGGCTGAGCTAATCCCTGGCCCTGAAAATAAGGTTTATAATTCACTCATAAACTACATTTCAATCCTAAGGAGGGGTTGTTAAATCTGCTCTGCATCTAACAAGCTGATCCATCCAGCCAGGAAAAGAAAGTGATGCATTAGAAATGGGGAGGGGATGTTTTCATCTTACTGTTTTTAGCTTCTCTGCCTTCCATTTTTGTTGCTGCTTTACCTCTTGTGCTCAGGATCTCATCCCGAACTCTCCCTGGGAACTGGAATCTTTTCTGTTTTGTCTGTTACCTAGCTGCATGCTCACCTCAGCCGGACCACAGCGTCTATGGACTTTGGGATGGGTGTGCTCACTCTCTGCTTCATTTACTTATTTTTAAATTGCAGTGTTCCTGTAATGCTCCCTCTTTTTCACTCCCTCCCCCAAGTCAGGCTGACTGGTGTGACAAAGAGGGGTCACAGGATGCACAGCAGGGTGACACCCAGACCACAAGACCCTTACCTGGGAGCCCCAGAGAAGCTCTATTCACAGTGTGCCAGGAACGACTTCCAGTTGGGGGGTGTTTGGGGGAGCTTTATTTGAAAATGATTCCAAAACCTGTAAGAGACAGAAAGCAGGGAAATGTTTTTCAGAAGCCTTCATGCCTATATTCTTGCTAGGATCGTTTTGGTACCTGGTACTCAGCTCTCTCTGAAACAGTGTCTCGTGACAGTTTTATCTGTTCACACACCTTCATATTATCAGGGTGCTAAACACAGATACTCCCTTAGAACATGATGACCCAGTCTTGTTTTCATTGCAGTATCATGAGCTCAGCTTTAAGAAATTCTCATCAGGGAAAAACATCTAGATTTATATGCTGCACACAAAAGCATTAGGACCTGTCATTAGCGAGGGACAGGTAAACACATCCTCTCAGAAAGGGAAGGTGACCTGGCTTCCTGAAGGACAACGTGGGTGCCCTGCATTCAGCACCAGCATTCCCAGGTCCCAGGAGTTAGTTCCTCCTAAGGAAATCCCTTGGAAAGTATGCAAGAGACACCTACCTGTCTATTTGCCAATCACAGTCTCAAGTAGCGAAAAGCTAGAAACAACTTAAACCCAGTAAGATTGATTAAGTGGGGCCTGAATGTTGTTTATGATGTCAGGTAGGCAGACATTAAAGATAATGATGTGGGAAAATACAGCAATGAGGGAGGTTCCTATGATAAACATGCCCGTACAAGAGTATGCGCAGTACTGTCCTATTTCTGTAAAAAGTACCTATGTAGGAAGCACCTTGTAAAAAGAAAATGAAGGATTAGCCAGACTCCAAAGTATACATTATCCTGTCTGGGTGATGAGATGATTTGTGGTTTTAATTTTTCTTTTTTTGTATTTTACAATATTTTTTCAAAGTTTCTAGAGCAGATGTGTATTATTTTTATAAGAGGAAACAACTTATTAAATTCACAAATCTCATTTTAAGAGCAACAAAGATTAACAGGGCAGTGACTGCTTCCCAGGATTGATTAGGTCATCCTCATTCATGTACGACTGTTGTTATCAAAGCACAGATTAACAAGACAGGCTTCAGCAGCACAGATACCCTAGGAGTTTCCAAGATGAATTGTTTCATAAAGACATCTGCAGAAACTCCTAAAAGTTGCCACATTTTTTTCTTTTCTTTTCTTCTCTTCTCTTTTCTTTTTTCATAATAAGAAGCCAGGTATTGCTCAGCTAAAAATGAACAAAACTTGGGCATTTTTCTGCTGTTGAAATGTTTGTGGCTGACTTATGTGTCCCGACACCAAGGGATAGTGAAGGTTAGAGGATAGGAATCCACATTTGGATCGTGCTTGGAATATTTGAGATCAAGTTATAGAACATCTGTACTGGGATTGCATTAAAAAATAATATCAATAACAATGCCACCCTTTAGTATTATTATTTTTATTTTATTGAGAACAAATATATCCGAAGAAATGCTGATGCACCCAGAGACAGGCTGGGAGGACACATGCACTGTGATGTTACCAAGGCCAGGTAGAGGGTGAGGCAGGAACACATGTGGTTTCCTGGGAGGGCTGGGGTTGTTTGCTTTGTATTTTATATACTTTTGCACTCTTTACAACTTTTAAATATAATTTTAAAACATTCAAATGGAATTAAGTAAAAAAGAAATTTTAATAAATGCCTATAATTGCAAGCTCAAGATAGAAGCTAAATAGTGGGTTTGGGTAAGATATTTTAAATGGTTGGAATTTTCAAGTTAAACACCTACGCTTGTCAGAAGTTCTGCGGTAATGATGAGTAGTAAGCGATAAGCACTTTCTTTGGTGGTTATTTCTGCAAATATACAGAGAGAAAACTTCCATCTCTGAGATTTCACTCCAGATATTCCAAATAGGATCCTGAAGACTTACCCAGTTTGAAGCAGCAATTAAATGGGCCGTTCCTATAAAGCAACTGGACCTCCAGAGTTATGTTTAGGGTTGCACACAGGCAATGTGTGACACGGGAGACCACTGTAACTCAGGGACCACGTCTCGGCCACAGAAAAGCCCTTCTCACTCCTCATTCTTAGCAAACTCCCCCCACCCCCGCGCCTTTTTGGTATCAGGGATCAAACTTGGGGCCTTGTGCTTGCCAGGCAGGCAGTGGAACCACTGGGCTAAATCCCCGCCTCCCGCTTTCCTTCTTATAATGTCCTTCCCCTTCTTACATCTAACACTGTTTCCAGAGATGATCGGGAACATGCTTCACACGAAGCTGTAAGTGAATATTAGCATAAATGAATATTTTAAAATACAATGAAGCTATAAATGAATATTAAAATCTTGTCCTTTCCTAACAAGGCTCACTTTTAAAAAAGCTAACACAGAATGAAGCTCTAATGGGGGCTCTCCTGTATCTGTCAGGATTTGAGGGCCCAGGCAGTCACTGACTGCTTATGTCCACCTGTGGGATCCACGGCAGTGGCCCAGGGAGCGGACAGGTGTTCTCAGACTCACAGGTGGTGGTAAATGTCAGGATCCCGCTGGAGCCGCGTCTGGAATCCTATATACAAGTCGTCCCAGAGCAGACCGTTCTTCACCACGTACCTGATGACGTCAACCCGGCTGCGAATCTGAAACAGACGGGGAACAGCTTGCAGGGTGAACCCCTCCTGTTCTGTGTTGCCGCTGCCGGGAGCGAGGGGAAGCGGACAGCACGGGCTGAGGGAGAAGGCGGGACCCTGAGCTCAGCAGAAATCAAGGGCGGTGAATAGGGGTGGACAGGAGTCCTAAAACACTGTGACTGAATGCAGACTCCGGGTCGCACAGCAGGTTCAGACCCAGGTTTTCTCTGGGTTATCTTGGTGGCCATGCTGTGCCTCTGATTCTTCCCGTGTAAAGTGGAGATAATGAGAAAACAGTCCTCACTGGATTATTGCGAGGGTTAAGTGGGTGAATGTGTACGAAATACTTTAAAAGAGGCGTAGCACACAGTGAGGGTTCAATAAATGTCTGCTGCCATCATCGTTCCACAAATGGAGGCAGAACAGAGCCCGCGATCTCACGGCGGCAGCCTGGCTGTGTCCAGCCTGCATCAGCAGCAGCACTGGAAGTCAGCCTGTCTAGGCTGCATCCTACTGAAACCCCTCTGTAGACACAGAGCTATTGGACAGCCAAGGAGCGTGGGATTACAGACCAGCAAGGGGGACTTAACCTCAGCTGTGTGCTGACCAACTGAGTAAGCCTGAGAACTTGCACCTCCTGCACGTTGTTTCCTCTTTGTGGAACTAGTGTGAGTGGCGAGAGCTTCAAAAGCACGAGGGGATGGTAGACATCCTAAAATTTAATGTTTTAACAGTCCATCCGTGCCCCTGTTCAAGTTTACAGGAGTTCAAGAAGTACCTTCATCAGATCTCTTTTTTCCTGGGAAATATCGTGCTAATGCTAGGAAAGGTAGACTTTCAGAAATGACAGGCTATTTGTTCAAAGACACAGAATGATTAGAAGATTGGCATTTGGGGTTTTTTTCCCTTTCCTGAGCCATTTCTGTAAGACAATGGTAGCTGTTGTGAGCCAAGGGTATAAGTAAGTCAGGTTAGTACTTTCACCAGTAGTTTCCAAAATATGATTTCCTTCTCGCTCTGTGCGTGTGCGCGTGCGTGTGTGTGCCTCTAATTTAGAGAGGAACACGGAAAATTGGAGATAGATCTGCAAAACACTTCAGGTATGGAAAGAGGTCTTGTTGGCTGATTAGATTTGAGGATGAAGGAAAAGGGAAGAATAGAAGATTGTGCCCTTGTTTTCAGTTTGGCTGACTTGGGGGGTGACGCTGCTGACAAGCAAACAGGAAAGGGGACTGGTCCATTCTGGAGGAGGAAGATGAGGGGTTGGAGTTGGAATAGGTGAAAACGAGGTGCCCAGGGGCTAAGAATGGTGCTGATATCCAGTGGGCCATCAACTGTTAATTATGTAAAGCCTGGCCATACTGGATGGAGCAGTGGGGAGACCTGGCTGGATGTGCAGAGTACTGGAGCCATTAGCAGAGAAATGATGTCTGCAGATGTTTCCCCGGGAAAAGACTGAGCAAGACCAGATTGAGCACAAAATTCCAAAGGGGAAGAAGGGACTGAGATGGTTGGAGAACAGGGTCTCTGATGAAAATGGTGAGGAATAGATGGGAAGAAATGGAATACAGCGTGTATTGTCAGCTGGGCTGAGAAATGGCCTTAGGGATCAAAATGATGGTCATATCAAATGCATAACCTTTCTCCACTAGGTTCAATTATGCAAATAATCGAATGCTAATAAAGCAATTATTAAACTGCCACAGTGAGGAGAAAAGGGTCATTGAGAAATTTTGTGTAGTTAAGTAGATCTAGAAAGCAGATTGACAGTGGCTTGTTAGGCAGAGCTGGGCTACAGCATCCAGAGCAATGGAGACCGATGGACTGTGGGGGACAGCAGGGACAGATGAGTATTAGGCAGCATTAAATATATCCATGAGCAGAAAGCCCCTCCTCACTCCCACACATATCTCCCAGCTGAATACATTCAGACATTTCTGTGAATGAATGGGCTTGGTGCTGGGGGAAATGAGGGCAGCTGCTGTATTTGTGACGCTCCCAGCAAGAGTATCTACATTTTAGCCGTTAGGGGTCCCTTTTCCTACTAGTGGGCTCCTTGCTTTCATAATTTAAAGCATGCAGGTGACCCCCTGACCAAGCACAGCCTGGCTCTTGTTTAGCAGAATCTACAGACCTGGACTACGAAAGTCTTTTTGTTGGGAAAGAAAGATGAATCCTTTTGTTTCAAAGTCACCTACAAAGGAAGAAGGATGGGTGAGGCATTGATGTTCTTTTGCACAGCATCCCCAGTGATGGAAGCCAAAGGAGCAAGGAGCCCAGGGAAGAGGACTGGCTCCTGAATCCCAGGCCCGGCTGAGCTGTCAGTAATGCAGGAACAAGGGCACTGGAAGCTCGGCTTGGGGGTTCCCTCCCGCTTAGGCTGTTGTGGAAAGTCCCTGAATGGGGTAAAGCAAGGAAGGGGAAGAGGCGGCTGGATCTACAGGCAGTGACGGTTAAAGCGACAGGTATGCGGCAGAAGGGGGAGGAGGAAGGAGAGGTACAGGACTCACACACCTCTGCATGGAGAGCTGGTGTGGTACAAAACACTATCATGGCTTTGAGAGGCAAGTAGTGCGAAGAGAAGGGAGCAGCAATATGAGAAGGCTGTAGGTAGCAGTAAGAGGCGCTTTCCTAAGTACAGACATCACCTGTTAAAGCAGCTGCAAACACAGAACCCCTGCTATAGTCTCAGAGCTCCAAGCCCAGCGAGTCCCCCTTAGACAGCCCTGTGTGTAGCACATGCTGAGATGATTCACCCCACAGCCGGCGGAAGCTGGCTTTATCCAACACGCGTGTCATGACACTAGGAGGAAGTGACACTTTTTCAAATATTTTAAATGATGATTCAACTCTCTTTAATGAGACACAGGTAGGTTCACTTGGGGAAGGAGATGGTATCGGGCAGACGAAGAGGAAGGCAGAGGTGCATGTTTCAGGTCTAGCAGCAGCTGAGGCTAGGCAGGAACTTGGAAGAAAGGGAGGAGGAAGGTAGTTTTCACAAACACCTTGAAGGGAGGCAAGCTTGGACCTTGGTTAGCAGCAGAGCTTCAATGTGGTTTGTTAGTTGTGACCAATGTACAATAGTAGAGCAAGGTGTAAACAATGCTCTGTATTCTTTGGTGCTTTTCTGGTAGGAACGAAAGGAAGGCAGGAAGGGAGGAAGGGAGAAGGAAAGGAAGTAAGATAGGGAGAGAGGGAGGTGAGGGAGGAGAAAGGAAAAGGAAGGAAGTGAGGGAGGGAGGGGAGAGGAAGGGAGAGACACAGGAAGAGAAAGAGCTCCCCTCTTCCTAGCTGCTGCTCACCTCCTCATAGGGATGCTCCCGGCTGGGCCTTTCTTTCGGAAAGGATAAATCTAGAAAGTCAACCAAGTAGTCATAGCCTCCTGGAAAAGGGTTGAAGTCCTCATCAGTCTCAATCATCTATGCAAAGGACAACATGATAAATGGAAAAGAATATCAATGAGATGGTTAAGGTCTTTAGAAAAATCCAAGACTATGAGACCCAAGTATTCCTAAAGGACAGTTCCAAGTTAATATTGAACTAACAGTCTCTATCTCTCTTCTTTTCTCCCTCCTGCTCCCTTCAGAACAGTGCCTAGATTTTCAGGGAGGGACTGTTGATCACATCGTCATGTTTATTCTCTGCTAGCCATTTGGAAGGGCTTTATGGATGCTCATTGAGACACAAATTAGGAAACACACAGGAGGTTTCATATATTTCCATAAAACAAGAAAGAAGAAACAAATACTGAATTGCATACCCTGACCACTAGGTTATAATTCTTAAATCCAGCCCAAGTGAAATATTCTTTAATCCAGGATGAGTGAAGGAAGATTTCATCTCCTACAGCAGCATTCAAGGTGTTCAGATATAGGCCAAAGTCCCAGGAATCCTTGTAAATCTTAGTCCCTTCAGGAGGTTCTACGATGCCCTTCCTTAAAGACACAGGGTAAAAAAATAGTGAAAGAAAAATGCAACTGATAATGAGGCCAAAAGTTAGCATTTATATAGCAAAGACTAACAGGCTGGTGGCTTTGAGATGCCAACATGATCCCAGGGACCCCACCTTGGCCTCAGCCAAAAGGGTTCCCATACATGGTTGAGTCAGATGCATTTCCAAATCAGATTTTACTTGTAGAAAAAAAGCCCACATCTGGGGAAAATTACCAGTTCTCTGGACCCCTTTGGTCCAGATAACTAAATTATGGAAATGTGGAATGTAATTTGGTTGCATTAATTTTGTGTCTCCACACTCCTGCCTCCCCACCCAACTAGAATACGTGTGATGAAAAGAGCAACCATGACTGAGCATGCGGCAGGTAGTCGTAAGTAGTATCTGGTGAATACATAATTGGTTTTCGCCTGTCTTTGAGATGCATGTAGAATTTTGTGTCCAGAATATATGGTGCCCTGATTGTACTAATCCAGAGACTGTACTAATCTGACAGAAAGGCAGTTTTATCTGGAAATCGAGCAGTAGAGCCTGCTCACAATCCTGAAGCTCTGTGCATCATGTGTGAAGACGGTGCGCTGCATGGTACGTGGCCTCTTGAATCCTGGGTGCAGAATGGGATAGGATCTGGACAGGGGAAACACAGCAGTGAAGTGGGCGCCAGTCTAGTAAAGATGTGGCAGCAAGGCAGAGGACCCTCTTCTCAAAACTACACGGTCTGTCTGCTGGATGCTCAAAGCTACAGATGCACTGGGATCTGTAATAAATGGTTTACCAAGTCCTAAGCCTTCTCATGTCCACGTAGATCTCCACTCTCCTCCGGCATCTTGCCTGTCTCATTTCAGAGTCTCACATTATTTCCTGTACAAAGCTGCAGTCTCCCCTGGCCTCCTGACTCCAAGGTTCCCACCCTGCAGCTTCTTCCCCAATACATCCTCCTCTGCAAAGCCGATATGGCTTTTCTAAAACACAGCCCAGTAATTCTCCTTCTTTGGTTTACAACTTTCTGAAGTTCCCTTACTCCTGGGAGTGGCTCCTTGCACTGCCTCATGAGGCCTTTCCACTCCTGGCCCAGGGCAGCATTCCTGTCACATCCCTTTCCTTTGCCTTCACTTATCAGCCCTGCACTTGGGCACAGGGGCGCCTTCGTGACGGAAAGGGCTTTTTCATGGCTGTGTTTCCTGTACCTAGTGTAATGCCCAGTGTACAGAAGAAGCTGAATAAATCATTTCTAAACCAATTGCATACATTCATTTACTCATCTGAATATCTACATTCACCAAATCCACAATGCTATTTATGTCTCCTTTCCCCAGCTCAAGCCATACCCTCTGACCAGACGCCCTTTCTTGCTCTCTGATGCTCTCTACCTGCAGCCTTCTCCTCATCTCTGGGACCTGGGTAAGTGCAGATGATTGTGGGCTGAGATTTCTGTCCCCTCTTCCTTCAGAAGACAGGTAAATGAGTAGTCTCCGTGTGTCCTTGCACTGTGTGCTAATGCTGCAACCCAACAGAGGCGATTCTGGTTTCCCAGCATGGTTTGGTGTGTCTCAAGGACACAAATGCACATTCTTGAGTTCGGCCTCAGATCCAGTGACTGAGTCTCTGAGGGGAGTCCACGGGTCTGTGCTTATGAAAGTCCTGCCCAATATTCTGCTATTCACATACTATGGAAATGACTGCTATCGGATAGATCTGCAGGACAGGAAAGAGGGTTTTGGATAATTACACAAATCTCTTGAAGGCCCATTCATAACTGAAATAACAGAAAACAGTTTTCACTCTTAACCTGCAGGCACTGGGGGATCTAAAAGAATCTGAGTCAAGACAGGAAGAGGAATCGTTTCTAAATTTAGAAAACATCCTTGTTGAAGGCAATGTACTCAGATTGTTTTCTATTCTATTCTTTTGCACTTCATTTTAATTAATGGCTGGTTGTAAGCAGCAATTGTGATGTTGTGGTTTGTCCATGACTGTAACCCCCAGACCGGAAACTGCTGGGGTAGGCTGGGTGCGGAGGAGGAGGGGTCAGAGGTCACCGCAGGATGTAGGTGAGAAACGGGGTGGGGGCTTAGGTAGACGTGAGGCCCAGGCAAAGAGAAGTGAAGGACTTCTGAGGTATTCATAAAGGAGAATGGAGCAGGTCTGATAAGTAGTGTGTCTTGGGGACTTAGCAAAAGGGTGAAATCAGCTGATGCTGTCCATGCTGACACGGGGAGGTAAGGCTGGGAAAGGAGTGCGCTGTGCTCTTGGCTCATGTCTAACCAGGGTGAGGAACTGGTGGCTCCATTTAGCTTGAGACTAAGGCTTGTGACTGCAATGTTAACGTTTCTTGAACTGCATTTCCAGGGCATTCAAATGTACTATTTGTGGAAAGAGCAGTCGGTAATATTTGCACTAATGTGAAAACTTTCTTACTAATTGCTTTTTACTTACATAAAAGCATGTATTTTGAGCTCAATCAATGGTCCTTCATACAAAACAACTTAATCTTTACTCTCTAATAAGGTTCTGAGATGAGGAAAACATTTGAGTAATTTTTAGATAAAATGAAAAGCTTGGGGGTAAAAAACCTTTCTCCTCTTAGATCTAAAGATATTTATTAGATAGTTTATTTTATCTAAATAGTAAGACTTCTATTTTACAAACAGGTTGCTGGATCTTTCGGAATAAGAAGCTCAGTATACCACTCAACAAAATGTAACATTATTACAAAATAGAGACCAGTCAAGAGATCAGAAGTGAGCCCTCTAATTTTCTCATAATATTGCAAATATTAATAAAGCATTTTTATCTTCTATAAGTATGTAAACCAAACCTGTCCGTTGGGTCCTTCAGCATCCTGCCCAGGTCAAGGGTGGCTCCAGGCAGAGGGGTCCATGTGACTACATTTGAGTTTTTCTTGATTAGATTGTTGAGCTGATTTGGGTCATTTTTGATATTTGTTTCCTTAATGTACCTGACAAATAAGAGTAATCCTATGTAAGAAGGTTTATTCTCAGATGCATGCTCCGATGACTACAAAGACAGAAATGTTTATTTTCTCCGTGTTTGACTTCCCAATGCCCCTCCACTCACACCACACAGAATAAAGATCACACTTTATGCTTTGATGTGGCTCAAGGATTCAGTTTCCTGGGCTGATTTGAGCTAATGTTGCAAATGAGAATAGTTACCAGACCCAGAAGTTGTACAGATCTTTTGTTTCTAAGTATAATCATGTGGTGACTGGAATCAAGATTATATAAATAGGTGAGAATTGCACTCTTGTATTTAACCTGAAACCTATTGCCTGATTAAATATTATGGGGCAGCCATTATAGTAAGGGCTTAACATGAACATACTGCTTTTATTTCACAGCACCTCACGAGATAGCTGCTACTACTGTGTTTGTGCTAAAAGAAGGAAATTAAGGCCTAGAGACTAGGTGCCTTGTCAGAGGCCACATGGCCAGCAGGCAGTCCAGCCCCAACTCTTCAGCCAGAGGCTCAACCTTCACTGCAGGCCACAGGTAGGGGCCTCACCCCAGCTTTGGAAATAAGTCTGAGAATTCTCTTTGAATGGGATGGGTGGGGGACAGCAGAAGGGAGAACCGGAGAAAACAGATTTGTCGTTGTGATTTATCTGACATCGTTTATCTAGAGACATTTCTGTTAAAGGCAATTCTACTTTCTTAGGCTACATTTTAGTTTTCCAGACTTGATATTTTTGGTCAGATAGACAAAACACACATCATGTAATCAAAGTATATGGCAAATGTGGAAATGTTTAACAATTTATTTCAGTAAAAGCCACATTTGCTATTAACCCTCCTCAAAATACGCCCCTTTGTTTCAAACATGCTTATCCCGTCATTCTTGTCACTTTCTGAAGAAGTTCTGAAAGTCCTCTTTCCTGTCTTTATGAGGAGTGATAACAAAAATATGGTGAATGCTGCTGCCAAGTGCCATCCAAAGGAAAGGCAGGTTCGGAAATGCATCATGGTGTGTTTTCACCCACCTCGCGCTCCAGATCGGACACCACGCAACTTCTAGCTCTTTCCCAAAGTCAAACTGACCACAAAAGGTAAGTGTTTTGAATCAGTTCAGGGTGTTGAGGCGACCAGGGCATCACAACTAGAAACGCTCACGAAAGAGAACTTCCAGAGCTGCTTCAGAAAGTGGCCAGAATGACGGGACAAGTGTGTTTGAAGGGAGGGGGAGGATTTTGAGGGGGTTAATAGCAATGGGTCTTCCATGGGAATTTTTAAAAAATTTAAACGTTCACCATAGTCTCCTACCACATCTCAAACATAAGTATTTATATTTCTACAGCACTCAGTGACATATGTTACTCGTGACCTTGGAATTAATTTTGCAGATACGAGTGAAGACACTGTCACTGTACTCAAAAACGCTGGTGTCTTTTCCCTTCCCACTTATTATTGTCCTCCTGTTGGTGCAGCCTTAATTTGAAGCAGTGCCACCAGATTTTCTCATCTTCTTATTACTGTTCTCTTTGCAGTGGTCACTACCTGGTCCCTCTGCCTTCAGTTTCCCCTTCTGGAGTCATGTCATTGTCTGTTACTTTTCCTGTGATGTTCACAAAGGTCCACAACTTCTTGATTCTTTGTCTCTTTCTCTAAAACAATACGATCAGCAACTCAGTGCCATCCTTTGAAGTGTATGTAGGTGTCGAGGGCAACACTGTTAACTACTCACACGAAGAAGTCTGGCTTTTAATGACTTTCAAAGGCTGCATCACGCTAAGATTTTAAGTGTCCCGTAGAGAAGTGCCTAGCACCTCTAATTCTTCTCCCAGTCTTTGCAACTTAGCGTCTTAATTTTTCTTTTACCTGAATCCTCTTCCCACTCCCTGCTGCCATTTATCTTCTTTCGAGGTTACTGTAATGGTTTTAAAACTGGTCTCCAGGATCAAATGAATTTTTCCTTTTCTGCCACACCAATGTACAACCCAGCATCCCCAATGAACATTTAAATACATCCGTGTCCCTCCCTGGACTCCTCGATCTGGCTTCCCAGCCCTTTGGGATAAAATCCAAACCCCAGGGCTTGGTGGGCACTGAGTTTCTTTCTGGCTCCCTTGCCTTTCTCTTTGCTCTTCGCACCCTATCCCGTGCTGAATTTTACTGTCTCAGCTCAACATCTTTCCATCTTTGCCTGCTCCTCTTCCAACACAGCTCTCTAAGCCTCACCCAGCAGTCGTTTTCTCACTCCATCTGCTTCACCTTGCATGCCCTTACACTCAGCACTCAGTGTCAGAATTGTTTTTCTCTTCCAGGAAACCATAACACCAAAGACCATCATTTTCTACGTGGGGTCCCAGTGCTTAGCACAGTGCCACTCAGTAAATGATAAATGAAGGAATTATTAAGGAACAGTAGTGACCAAAAGAAATTATTTATTTAACCTTAGGTCAATCTTACTGAAAAAAGTTGGAAGATGTGAGATAGCTAGTCAATATCAACTGGAAGATTAAAAGGAAGAAAATAAATCTGCAATAGGCACATCAAGGGATCCCACACATGTAGCTACGTGGGGAGAGAATATAGAATAACTTCAACATGATACTGATGAGACCACTGAAGTCCAAGGGTTTCAGATGACTGGCCCCAGTAAATGGTGGCAGGACCAGAACTAAATCCTAGGTAGATCGGTCTTTGTACTGCATTGCTGCACGTAGATAGCAGGAAGTTATGCTATCCTTAAGTAATCATTGTCATAAAAACTTACCTCAAAATTTGATTTCTTTATTATCTAGTGGATTCAGATAAGTACTTTAGTGAGATGACCTACACAACGCCTGCCTGCACACAGGCCATCTGTGCTCCTCCCGGCAATTGTATCATAAAGTGGGTCTCTGTGGAGTGGGTGCCACTTGCCCATAAAAACATTATACCTAGTGAGTGAGTCACTGCATGCGCTCAGGATTCCATAAATCCTGTCTAAATATTGAAATCTTATAAAAGCATAGCTTAAACATCTATAAGATTTTGCCTAGCAATTAAAATTATAAAATCCAAATACTACAATGTAGGTAGATACCTTTATATGTTGTTTTTTCACAAGATTTTGAATTCCATAAAATGTGCATGTGACACAATTTGATAAGGTCACAAATGTGACTTAAACATACTTCATTTAACTACCATGGCTTAAGCTGCTTTTTAAGAATAACTTTCAGACTGAACATAGAACAACAAACGATAGTCTAATTAAATGGAATCTGAAAGCAAGCAGAAGTAGCTACACTCATACCCGACAAAACAGAGTTCAAGCCAAAATTAGTCAGAAGAGACAAAGGTTTCTACATATTGATAAAGAAAATAATCTATTCAGAAGATATAATAATTGTAAATATATATGCATGGAATGCCAGAACATCCAATTTAAAACCTATAGGACATAAGGGGACAGGCCCGGATATGATAACATTGGGTAATATTAATTCCCCACCTCCACCAATAGATTTCAACTTTCACACACAAAATAACAAGAGACAGCAGTGTTAAGTTACACTATGGAGCAAATGGACTTATCAGATATCTACAGAATAGGTCATCTAACAACTCAAGAATAGAGATTCTTTCCATCAACTCACAGAAATTTCTCCAAAAGAAATCATAGTTTAGGACATAAAGCAAAACTTAATAAATAAAAAAGTGAAATCATTTCACATATATTGTCAGATCATAACAGAATAAACCAAAAGTCAACAGAGAAACTTCAGAAAATATACAAATACATGAAGATCGAACAATCTACTTTTGACTGAGCAGTGTGTCTTTGAAGAAATCAGGGGGAAATTTATGCATGTATAGAATCAAATACAATGGAAATGCAATCTAGCAGAGGTAATGGGACACAGCAAAAGAAGTTATAAGAGGAAAGTTTATAAATTTAAGTGCCTACACTTGAAAAACTGAGATCTCAAATAACCAAATGATACATCTCCAATAATAAATCAAAAATCAGTAGAAGAAATAAACAATAAAGATCAGAAATGGAGGCGCAAAGAACAAAAGATCAATGAAGCAAAGAATCCATTCTTTGAAAAGATAAACAAGATTACAAAACCTTAGCCAAACTAACCAAGATGGAGAGGGAGGAGTGGAGTTACGAAAAAAAGACAGTACAACACATATCACTGAAATCTGGAGGATCCTTGGGGATTACTATGACCATTATGAAAAAAATTATATGCCAATAAGTTAGAAAATCTAGAAAAAAATGAACTAATTTCCAGACACATGTGGCTGCTGAAATGGAACAAAGAGTACACACATCAATAATGAGCAGTCTGCAGAATGGGAGAAAGTCTTTGCCAACTGCTCTTCTGAGAGGGGATTGACACCCAGCGTGTATAAGGAACTCAAAAGTGTTGGCACCAAAAGATTAAGTAATTTAACCAATCAGTGTTCAAATGAATTATGTAAATATCTTTCAAAAAAGTAGAAATGGCCAATAGTTATGTGAAAAATCATTCAACATGTTTAGCTATCGAGGCATACAAATGGAAACTACACTGAGATTCCATATCACTCTGGGCAGAATGGCTATCATCAAGAATATAAAAAATAGGGTAGGGAATTTAGCTCAATGGCTCTGCCGCCTGCCTCAGAAGCGCAAGGACCTGAGTTCAACCCCTGGTACCAAAAATATATATATAAATAAATAAATAATAGGCTGGGCACAGTGATGCATACCTGTAATCCCAGCTACACAGTAGGCTGAGGCAGGAGGATCACAATTTTGAGACCAGCCTGGGAAACTCAGTGAGATGTGGTCTCCAAACAAAGTAAAGGGGTAGGGCTATAATTCAGTGGTAGAAGACTTGCCTACCATGTATGAGGGCTGGGCTCAGTCTCCAGGACTGAAAAACAGTCCACAGAAAACAGAAATAATAAATGCTGGCAAGGATGTGGGAAGAAAGGAAACGTATATGTTGGTAGGAGTATA